AATCATTTTCGAACAGGATAAAACTTTTATAAATATCTTGGTACGGCAAACAGTTCATTTATATGATCCAAAAGTTTAAAATTGCCGCGGATCTTTACTCCAGAGAGATAATGGCATTTTCTTTCACAATTATAACATTAAAGTTGTTAATGCGTACATTTCTATCTATTGTATTTTACCTGACTAACGACATTGCTTAGGTAATTTTTGCAGCCCATGGAACCTAGCCAGTTGAAACAATTGTAATATAAAATTGTAATTAGCTTGAAGTGCAAAAGCTTAATGGGAATGATGACCAAAGTGTTCACAACAAAAGATATGTAAATATTTACATAATTCGAGTTCTTCGGGAGAGGGAGACTTGTCGTATTTCATTCCAAGTATGTTCGATTAAGTAATTGATCAAAGTAATTGAGTATTCAATTACTAATTACTACTTGGCCAAGTAATTAAGTACTTCCAATTTTAATTACTCCAGGTCCTTCAAGTACTTAAGTACTTAATTACTTTGACAAATACCGGAGTAATTGAAATCAATTATCAATTACCAATTACTTCAAGTTCGGTAATTAAGTAAGTAATTAAGTACAAAAGTAATTAAGTACCACAGCCCTGACTGGAATTATCCTTCAGTAATGAAAAATTTACCACTCTGGAACAATTTACTACCAATCCGATAGAAAATTCTTACCAAATCAATACCAGTACGGAGTAACTCTACTAGAATTTAGTAGTGTATCCATTCCTCTAATTCTTCCTACTAGTTCACTAATACTTTTACGAAACTTGACTTAAAAATTATCTAGCTATATTTAAAAGCACGATAAAACGCAGTAAAATTTTGGATGCTTTATTTTAGCATAAAAATCATAGCTGTGTCAATAAAAGAACTTTTTAAGCCATAATTTTCCCCGACAGTAACGAAACTGTTGCCCAGTTGACGGAATGGCTTTCCACGACTTGCCTAGTCACCCTGTTGCACGATTTAAATAAACGTACCTTTTAAACACGAAGTAAAATCAGCCGGATTACAGTAATTCATCGAAACTACTCGATTTTTTGTGTTCAATTTTGTCTTTTTATTACATTCATATGTATCGATTTGTTGACTGTTTTCTAGGAATTTTGGCTAAAACATAGATATAGAGTAGAATAGATCAGGCTTCTTCCATATAGTCAATGTTAAAAACTCGGCAATGTTTTTGAGGTGGGACTAAACCCTGCCCGTGTCTACAAACCAAACTTGTTAACCTCCGTATTTTATTATTTGACACCACTTATTTTTATTTTGGCGTTTGAATTATTCACTTTCGTATGATTTAAACGCCAAAATAAAAATAGCAGGTGTCCAATAATAATTTTTTAATGGTGTGCAAGCGTGCTAAGCATTCCATGCGCTACCGTGCAACCATGCGTTATCCCCAAATTATCCCCAAATTCTCCTCCATGCCGAGACGTATTTTTCAGAAGTAGCCGAATCTACTCTACTCTATATCTATGGGCTAAAATTATCTCTTCCATTTTCCCCGAAGGATTTAAAGCAACCTAAACATCATGTTGCTTAATAATCGTCCCTGTTAAATACAAAGTACTTTCATTCTCAAATCGAAAATCAGCAGGATTGTGGTAATTGAAATGACGCATTTCTTGTTTGAATAAGATGACTAGCTTTCCAATTTTCTTCGCTATTTAAAAACCGATTACTTTCCGGTACAAATTGAAAAGTGGAAACTTTCTCCTCCACCTTTTTCCAAAATTTTAAAGTTTTACGTTAATTTTTTTTAATAAACTTGCTAGATTGCGAATTTTCTTATTTATTCAACAACTGATTTAAACTTTCTCGTCCACTTTCTCCCAAAATTGTAAATAATTCAAAACATTGACTGGCAAAATGGATAATTTTTTACGAAAACTCGCCAGCCCAACTTTCCACTCGGAAACTTCCTATCTACCCGCAATGACCTCGACGACAAAGTGGTTGGTAAAGTCGTTTGCCATTCCGCTAATTTCTGAAGCTAGAGGCCAGGGTTATTCCATCATTAAGAAAAAGAAACATTGGGCAATCTACTTTTGCACCGCTTTAATATTTTTCTTTCACAATCTCATATATGCTTTCTGGTTTTATGAAAATATCTACAAGTCAAATGGGACGGAGAGTCTGCAGGTCTGGCAGAAAGTAATTTCCTTCTTCTTTCTGAGTAAGCACAGTATGGTGGTTGGGATCCACTTGTGTATCCTCTTCCGGCGAAGGGAACTACTTCAAGTGATGAAAACTTGCGCCTGGATCGAGAAGAAATGCAGAGGTGTAGGTGAGTAACAATTGTTCTGATTATAGTAACCGGTAGTAAAATATTTAGATTAAAATATTATTTAGATTTAGATTTAAAAAATTCGATTTAAAATTTAGATTAAAATATTTAGATTAGAAATTTAGATCAAAAATAATTAAATTACAAATTTTTAACTTGACCGAATCGAACCTTCAAAGCGAACCTAACCTAACCTTACAAAACTGATTCATGACTGAAGCGTGCCTTCTAAATAATTTCTTAATTGTACACAATCGCACCTTAAGAAGTTTTTTATGTCATCGAACCGTGCCCTAAAATTTATTAATTTGACCCGATCCTTCAAATATAGTTGAGCTGGATCGTTATTTTCTGAGATCCGATCCGTCCAAATCAATTTCATCCAAAAAATTCAGTTCCGGGAACACCTCAATTTTCACTTGTTCGCAGACTGAGCTTGAGCATTGAATTAAATTTCAGGGCCCTCAAACTACACGAAGATCAGCATTCTTTCCCATCTGGATGCTGCAAAGTTTTCCTTATTTGCGGTCCCTATTGTGCTCGGAACGCTTGGATTGTTCAGACCCTGCATGCCACCCTCTATCGCGAACATCTTAATTCTCGAGTGTCGCGATGGATGGGGCGACCAGGAAGCTGCGTTGTGGGTCCGTCTTATCAATGGTTTGCTGCAGGGGTCCGTCGGGCTCTCTGTGGCAGCAGTGATTGTTACCACGATCAAACGGATTTTTCTTTATCCCGCGGTAATGGTGGAATTGTGGATCAAAACGATTGAAAGGTGAGGATGTTTAGGTTATCCAGGTAATGTGTCTTGACGCAGTCTGATAACGCCCCATGCCCCATCAGCAAAGTTAAACTCCTAAGGTTTAAATCTCAATCAATTTTTGACCATAATTTTTTTTCTTTACTATTCTGAAAACCAAATTATGGATCTACAAGGTAAAGGAAGTCGAATTTGTGTTATTCTTTTTTAAATTCCACACACGGTTAATAATTTTCGGTTGAAAATGAAATTCTACCAAAATTATAACCCCTAAATATATACTTTTGTAAGACCATAATTCAGATTTTGATAATATCAAAGAACGTAAAAGCAATCTACACATACCAACTCAACAATACATACATATTCCTACATATTAGGAATCTGAACATTTATGATAAACTGACAAAAAAGATTAAGGTGCCAGCCTATTGAACGATAGGCAATGAGCATGAATTTTCTTTCTGTCGAATGACAATGACTAGCGATGCTTTCGTGTCACTAGTAGAGTCACGTGATAATTAGAAATATATAACTGAAAGGTTCGCCGTATACATGGCAACGTAAATTTATTTGCAACTCTGTGGAGGAATTCAATTGGAATTTGCGCAAAGCGTAAGCATAGATTTTGAATCAAAATTTATTTGCGCAAATTACAATTGAAGGAGTGGGTGCACAAATGGCGATCTGGGGCTAAAACTTTTTATTTCTTAATTTTGGAGATTATGATGGTACAAGACTAAATCAGTAAGCTCGACTTGAAAAAAATCACTTTCAACAACTTCTGTAGCCCAAAAACTGAAAATCTCGCTATGTTGATGTTTGGCGCCTTCAGAGGTAGGGTGGGTCCCATCCGATCCGATCGGATTATCCGAAATTATCCGACCACTTACTATAACATGTATCCGATCCGTCGGATCGGTTCGGATCGGATACTATCCGACCATGTTGTAGCAAATGGTCGGATAAAAATATTCGATCCGATCCGACGGATCGGATATTATCGGATTGGATGAGACCAACCCTATCCAGAGGGAATTATATCCAAAATGGCTGCAAATTTCTGAAGACAACCAATTCGTGAAATGAAGGTACTTACACAAGATTGCTGAAAAATCGCATACGATTCAAGTCTAGCTTACTGATTTAGTCTTGTACCATCATAATCTTCAAGATTAAAAAATTTAAAGTTTTAGCCCCAGATCGCCATGTGTGCACCCACTCCTTCCTACCCTGGTTTCTACACAGTCCCTAAATGCAATATCCTTATATAGGTATGTATGTATGTACTATATGTAGGTATGATCACAAATGTGCACATATTTACAAGTGCGTAAATATGAACGAAATAAAGCCAGCCAGAATTATGCATTTGCATACACATTCAATGCAAAATACGCAAACCATGCAATATCGGTTTCTTGCTTAATATTGAGTTGTAAATGGCTTTAAGATGAGCTGGCGATAAAAGCACAAATTGTCGCCAAATTGTGCTTAATTAACTACATACGAAAATTAATTGCGAAATTCACCTCTATTTATATTTATAATCTACGTGAATTTACTTTAGGCACTTGGGAAAAAACGCCGCTCGTGGTTTTATATATGTAAATTTACATACAATGCAATTGACAGTATCCAACCCGTCACTAAACCAACCGGCAATACCTAAATAAAATATACATACCTTTCCTACTTATTAAAGTCAGTATCTATCCTTGTCCTTGTATTGGAAACCATGTGGTTACCATATCAAAATAAATGAAAACAATATTGATTTTATCATCAGATGTTCATTACACCCAGTTTAATACTTTGGCACCAGCAGCATCGAAATATTCATCAGGTGTGAATTTACATAAATATGTACATACATTAAACAAGTACTTACAATATATATTTAGCATCTCATACACACAAATGGTTGTTGCTGCTTATCCAAGCGGACGATGCAGGTATGTATGCACGCAAAAGATAAGACCATATTTACGTACTTATCAACCTTATAAATTCATTTCCACACATATGTACATAAATACACTTCATAATCGCCACACATTATTAATTGTCCATCGTACAAAAAATACTTGCCGTAATAATAATTTCTTCTGAATTGGAAGATTTTAAAGTCTTGTCAAAATGTCAGATTTAATAACACCAAACCAAAAACTCTCCACAATTCCAATAGCTGAGCTCAGAAAATGGGACATCTTCACCTCTGTTGATGACAAGTTACTGGAAAATATCCGTCTTGCCTATGCCTTTGGAGAACTAGGATTTCTAGTCACAACGGAGGATATCGTCTATTCGCTTGGATCAAATAGACAGGGATGTCTAGGAATTGGGGATAGTACGGTTACCTGCTCGGTACAACCTGTGAAAGTTGATGCGGTTTGTGGTCAGTGTGTAATTGGTAAGGGATAATTTTCATACATGCACACTAAATAACATGGGAATAAATCGTGACCTGCGGAGGTACTACTATCGCATCGCATTATTAGTACCTCCGCCGGTTAATAATTGTGTTAAAACTATTTAAACTGTATTTATATCTGGACATAATTAATTTGCAATATTTTGAAATTACTTGCCCGTTACATTTACATTATGTATCCATTTTTACAGATTTCAGCTGCGGTGGGAACTTCGAGTACACGTTTTGTTTCGCACTAACCGCTGACCACAGAATATTTGCATGGGGTCGAAACGACTGTGGCGAACTTGGCATAGGATATTCAAATACGACTGAACTAAGCCCAAAATTAGTTGATTTGGGTGAAATTAAAATTGCTAAAATTGCTTCCGGTTTTGGTCACAGTTTAGCCTTGACTGCAGATACGGGAGAAGTGTATGCATTCGGGAGAAATTACAGAGGAGAGCTGGGCCTTGGAGATAGATCAGATCGATCCAATCCGTGCAAAGTGGAGGGATTAGGATCCGCGAAAATTATGCAAATTAGCTGCACCGCCTTCAGCTCGTTCGCCCTGACGGAGTTTGGAGAGGTTCCAAGATTTTGCAGAATTACTTATTTCTTATATATGGATAGATACATAGATATCTGATATTTTAAGGCTGAGTTATTACTTGGTTATTTATTATATGAAAGGTGTATTCCTGGGGAGATAGTGAAAATGGACAGCTAGGAATTTTACAAGTTTCCGAAAACACAATCAGCACACCAACCAAGATGATTATTGACAAACCCGTTAAAAAGGTGATAAATAAGTAAATAAATAAATTCATATACTTATTTGTTACTTTTAAACAGCTTTAAATTTTCATTAAAGTTTCCCTTGTTTCCTCTATAATTTTACCACATATTCAGATTGCTAACGGCGCAGCACACACCCTCGCCTTAACCACAGATGGTCAGATTTACGCTTGCGGGCTAAATTCGACCGGACAACTTGGCACCGGAGATGACGTAGATCGTTCTGCACTAACAAATTTAGGGGATCACTGGCCAATTTTTGACGACATCTGCGCCACCACGCAGACATATCAGAGTTTCGCGAAAGCCGGAAATAGAGCATATTTCTGGGGCGAGATTATTCCTGGCGAATCAAGTTATACTTCTCCAACTGAAATGGTGAATAACATGTCCAATTTTCCTAGTCCCGTTACAGTTTTCAACAAGCGACAATTCATGCATGCATCCATAAGTGTAAAGGATAAATAAGCATTAACATGAGACTGAATAAATATAAATAAATCTTGAAAATGCAATATTTTTATCCATGCTGGGCAAATATCTGTGGTTTGTTTGACCTTGGATGAATATGTAGTAACTCGAAAGCCAACGGTCACATTTACATACTCATAGAAACAATATAATTATGTATGAAAATATATAATATGTACGAAAACCTTAAAATATGGAAAATAGAGAACTCTACATGTTTGAATTTTTGCGATTGTGCTTTGATGGGATGTCCGTATATGTACAAAGTTTTAGTATGTACGATCTGGTTTGGTTCCTATAAAAAAGTTATGTGTAAATACATACATATCCGCTGTCTGGTCTGGTGATTTCATAGGTTCCTTCCCACACACTTGCCTTAGTGACTCAATACATACATACAGTTATCAAAATTATTGAAGGCACCATTGATAGTCATGGTACAAATCTTAGTGTTTTCAGGTTCTGGAAATGTATCATTGTTGGGAAATATAACGATTCTACAGGAAATTTAATGGAGATTTCAAAAATCACAACATTTTATTGCTAAATGTAAGTTTTCACAATATTATACATCGAGTCACAAAATTTGGGAAATGCATGCAAAATAATTGAAGGCACCTTTATCATTTTCTGTTGGATTTAAAGCTCCAAACTAAAAATTAGCAATTAGCTTTGAATTGTCACTGGTTTTAAATGTTGCAAATACAATTTGCCAATTTTTAATATTGACAAGGTCGAGTACTATTGTAGAAACTGGTTTATTTTTTCACACCTTTAACTGCTTTGAGCTGGATATTTATGACCAGATGAACTTGAATGCAACCAAATCTCACCATCTGCATTTCGTCAGTTTCTTTGTCATCCCACTTGTTCACCTCATGCGCTATTCCTTTAAGAAACGAAGCCATTTGATGTACAGTAAGCAAAAATTTAAATCGTACCTTATTCTGTCATGTCATAACTCTATGGTTTTCTACTTGATACAAACTGATTATTATTGTGTAATACATCATTCTTGTAGGAAATTTAACGTAGATTCCGAAAATGACACGCATTTTTGTTTTTCCCAACCGATTATGAATCACTAATTACAAAGTTGGGGAAGATATAAAATCCATGCAAAAAATTAAATCGTACCCTTGCGGGTTTTTAAAGAAAATTGTGTCTAATAATTAGTTAACACTTTGAAAGGCCTCGGTTTACTACACTTACAACTTTGACACGCCGCGGCATGAATTCTACCAATTCTTTGTCACTTCCGGTCAGACGTTTACCCACATTTCGCCTAAAATAACATGCAAGTCATGTTTGGGTTTCGATTTTCGGTTCGAAATCCTCCTCGCCAATTATGCCCATACATTTTCGATGAGAATGAGGCCAGTAGGTCACGTAACCCACGGAAGACCATTAATTCACTTTCACTCGAGGTTCCGATTAATAAACTTCGCACAAGTGCGAAGGATTTTGGGATCTGCGCCGAAGTGCAAAATTATTTTCAACATGAGTCTCAATTTTCTCGCTCAGCGGACTAAGTTTCCCTACAGAATTGTCTGCTGGACTTCCTTGTTGATGATTGACTCAGTAAAGATAAAGTTTCAACACCATTCCAAAATCTTAGGGCCCAAACAATTGCAATTCCTTCACTATGTTACAAGGTCTTTTTCATGCATATGGGTTTATGAGCTTCTCCAGGTTTCCTCCACATCATCACGACTGAATTTGACCTAAATGTGTTGCACATGTTGCAGTCATGCTGATTGACACGTTTTCAGTCATTCAGAATACTAACGCTGAGGTCCAGGGTCCATTTAGGACGCTGCGCCATATTTGACTCATAAATGAATGGCCTCTTGCTCCCACTTCGACCCCTTAAAACCCCTTTCTCGGATCCGGCTTCTGAGTATTTGAGTGGAAACCGTTCTTTTGCATCGCTCGTGCAGCTCAGATGCAATTTTTGGGGTCAAAAGTCCTCAGTTGGTCAAGATCTTGCTGATTATATTTCGGTGCTCACCCTGGTTGATTGCCGTTTTGTGTCCGCGTCAGTGAAGATTGCCCACCAATCCAGTTTCCTTGCATGTTTGGGCTATGAATTAGATATTATGCTCCTAAAACTTCGTCCTCAATGCAATTTTGTAGTATTATAGTCCTTTCCTATGCAGAAAAATAACCCCCTTACTTTCCACAGGATATAGCTATTTTCTGCCCATTTTGCGGAATGTCTAGCAGCTTCAACGTCAAAATTGATATTTTTTACATAAAAATATTAAAACCTGTATATAAATCGAACTTCAGTTAAGAATTATTGTTTTTGAATGCGGGGAAGAATGAAATGATCAAAAAACCGAAAGGGTACGATTTAATTTTTTGCATGAATTTTCAATTTTCCTCCACTTTTTAATTAATGGTGCATTATCGGTAAGGAAAACCAAAAACTGCATATGAAATTCGGAATCTACATTAAATTTCATACACAATGGATGTATTGCACAGTAAGAATTGAATTCCATAAAGCAGAGAACCATTAATTTATGATATCCCAAAAAAGGGTACGATTTAAATTTTTGCTTACTGTATGTATGTGTCACATTTAATGGCATCGCGTATTGATTATTATTTTATTTGCAAAACCTAAAAAAATGAAATGATCGAATCATTAAAATGGTACAGCTTTCCTCTGCCATAAAGGGATCATTTTCCATTTACTTAAACAGGGTGAGATGGTGTGCAGTGTAACCCTCCGATATGGTTGAAATTTTGAGATTATGTAGTCCACGTTAATATTTACAACTAACGTTTCTTCAGGCTGTTAGTGCGATGGTCAAATAATTTGCCAAAATATTTTAGGTTAAAGTTGAAAAATGTGAAATTTTTAGCACGGGAAGAGAACAGAAGTTGGGTTTGCTTCCTCCACCTGGTAAAAATCTAGCATTTTTCAACTTTGACCTAAAATATTTTGACAAGTTTCTGACTATCGCACAAACTGCCTGAAGAAACGTTACATAGTGGACAACATAATCTGAAAATTTCATCCAAATCGGCCCGTTACACTTTACACCAACGCATTGTTAGTCGCCAATTATCTACACAAATTGGAGTATGAAAGTTGCTTAGTAAGGCGTCAAATGCGTAGCAGATCAACTGGGACACGAAAAAATTGGTCTCTTCCTGGCACACAAATACATACAAGGTGGTTTAAATGTCACGCTACAATGGAAAATTTTTCAATGGGAAAAATTCGTAAATTTCCATTAGTTATCGAAATCTTGTGTCTTTCATATTTTGCCATCAGTTTTGATAATAATTAATAAGAATATCAATCCCAAATCTTGTAACTATTGGAGATTTAGAGGGCTTTCCCCTTAAAAAATTTTCCATTGTAGCGTGACATTTAAACCACCCTGTACATGTAACTAGTTACAGATTAGTCCAAATATTTATTTATTTTACATACATACATATGTACATATTTACCTATAAAGAAATTCCTTTATCCTCTCCCGATCGATCAACTCAATTAACTACTCAACCCACTAGATAGCATAGATCGGAGTCCTCCGGGCTTGGAGTACGTACTCCGGCCTCCGGAGGCCGGAGTACGCAGCTTTTTCTGGAGGCCGGAGTACGCGGAGGCCGGAGTACACGTGGCCAGCCGGAGGCCGGAGTACGCGGAGGCCGGAGTACGCACGGCCGGCCGGAGGCCGGAGTACGGAGGCCGGAGTACGCAAAACTTCCGATCGCATAGATAGGAGAATTCCGGGCTTGGAGTACGTACTCCGGCCTCCGGAGGCCGGAGTACGCGACTTTTTCTGGAGGCCGGAGTACGCGGAGGCCGGAGTACGCGTGGCCAGCCGGAGGCCGGAGTACGCGGAGGCCGGAGTACGCATGGCCGGCCGGAGGCCGGAGTACGCGGAGGCCGGAGTACGCAAAATATCCGATCTATGCTAGATAGACAATAATTGACAATAAATCAATTTTAATGTGTTTTTTTTTAGTTTTTAAAACTAAAAAATTTCGCTTTCTTTTATTCTACGTCCCCTTATTCGCCTTACGCAGGGCGGATTTTCGTTCCCTTTCCGCCGCCGTTTGCAGGTGGCCGTCTTACAGTCGGCGAGCGCTTTTAGATATCTCGCATCAATCTTTTCCCTGGCCGATGGGGTAAGTTTGTCCTTTTCTGGCTCAATTATTTTATTGGATTCCACCAAATTTTGGGATATTAGATCCAACGACTTTTCCCCGTTGACCTTAATGTCTCGACGCTTCCTTCGGTTGAAGGAAGCGTCGTAAATATGAAGATTAAGGTAGAAGTTGTTTTCGTTTCAGGAGCATGGCAATTCGCAAATTCAGTCAGGTTGGAATAATTTAATTGCATTATCATGGTCAGGATCTTTAAGATCATAAACGTCTCAACTCCCTTCCATTCATGGGTGGTATAGTGATAAGCGAAATAAACTCGTTTGTTTTATTTATAATTTAATCCAGGAAAACAGTGAAGGAAGAAAAAAAGCTGGAAAACCCATATTATTTTATGATGCTACCGATCATAGCGAGCAGGGGGACATGGTCCGTGGGACTAAAATGGTAATCCAGGGGACCGGGGACCATATTTTAGGATCGTCCGGGGGATTTTATTTTGAGATGGTCCAGGGGACCATATTTTAAGATGGTCCAGGGGATCATTTTTTTATGGTACCCCAGGGACCAGGGACCATTTCATTGCGAGCTATGTCACCGATTTAACCGACCAGGTCATTTCTTTTCTGTATGATTAGACTTGGGTGACCATATTTGTCGTGACCAAAATCGGGACATTTTTTGTAAAAAAAAAGATTTCCATACTATCTAGATGCGGTTCAGATATCACCGAATTTTTAGAAAAAGCCATGCAAAGCAATTAAGTATTAAAGTATTTTGTGCTAAAATCTACTTTTTCATCAATATTTTGGGTAGAAAGTGAATTAATTTAATTTTTTCTACGATTATAAACGATTTTAATAAAAACCGGGACACTTTA